GAGACCTAAATTCTAAGCACCATGTTCTAAGAAGAACTTCTAGATCTGGGAACCAACATTAGGGGCTCATAGTAACCTCAATCCTAGGCCCTGGACCAAGCACAACACAGGATGGATTAAGCTTGCTCTAAGTGATAACCCATCAGCCATACCTGTGGGTACAGGATTCTCTCTGGGACAAAAAGGGATGGAAGGGGCACAGAGCAGCCCCCAGGCCAACCAGGGTTAGCACAAGCCTAGCTGTGTGCTCTTAGGAGAATGATATATAACAGGAGGAGGGATGGATGCCTGAGGAATTAGGGAATAGAAGATGGAAGAGCAGAAAAAGGCCCCAAGTTTCTCAATGATGGACACCTGATTTTGTCAACCACCATACCTTTTGGGTGACAGCAGAGAACAGTGACATCTAGACTTTGGGCAGCTACACATGCAGTGCCTCCTCCTTTGATTCCATTCAAAGTTCCAAGGAAGATTGGAGTGGAAAAGGAGGGTAGAAAAAGTCTGGCAGGGGAACCACAAAAGAATTAGTGTGGAAGGATGTCTTGAGCAGGTGGCAGTGGTATACACTCTGCGTTGCCCCATTTGGCTGCCAGACACAGCCAGTGTCCACTGCCACCCTGACTCAATACCACCAGGCAGGGATCTCCCTAATTCATTCAAGAGGGCCATCCCGATGCCCTGACAGGCACTGAGGTCCACACACAGAGAAGGGCTGCCTACCTCTGTGGGATCCAGCACCTGCTCCTGCCCTTGTTCTGTGCACTTCCTCAGTGTGATCAGCTCCAAGATGGTACAATATGTTGAGAATAGATGGCTTGCAGAGTCCATGGGGAGCCACCTTCAGGAGGGGTTGTGCTAGACATGTGTTGTCACTACCATGCCTTAATGCTGTGCCTGGTTTTAACACACTATAACACATAGAAAAAGTGAGTCCCCACGGGTTCAGGGATCAAGGGAGGCTAAGATATTCTGGTAAGAAGCTCCATTGTGTGAGAGTGGGGCCAACAGACACTATTGTCCTTGGCCTCCAGCCTGGGACTGACTCACCTGAGACCATGCTCCAACCAGTCTGCTGGAGAACTGCATGTCTGCTCTTTGGGGAGCTACGTTCCAGGTCCAGGTCAGAACATTTGAGAACTTTAATGCCTTGTGGGGTACAGAGTAGGTATGGAAGTGGGGCAAATGTCTATCACATAGATCAAGAAATGATCTCCAAGGCACAGGCATGAAACTCGATCTCTTTCTAAAGTTGTACCCCACAGAGATTTGCGCCTCAGGATGTGATGAATGCCTTGGAACAGGGCACAGGGGCTGTTAATCACACACAACTTTAGTATTGTGGGGTATTAAAGTTCCCTGTGTCTGTGGTATGGGATTTTCTCAGAGTTAGGGAGGTGAATGGGTATTTTAGTGGGTAAGATGCCCAGAGAAAATAAACCACCTGAGCCAACATTAGCAATAGCAGTAAGCAAGTGTCTCTCTATATATATATCTCCATCCGTATCAGGGAATGCATTCTTGTGTACTGTTACAAGCTTCAGCATATCCATGGCTGTCTATGATAAGTCATGCTTATAGAATTGTGTTCATGCTGTTCATATGCTAATTAGTTAGGTGAGGTCCATACATGTCCTCAAAGTCTTTGGGGCTGAAGCACTGTGAAGTGGTTTCCCATATTCCACCAATTGAAAGATGAGGGAAAATGTGTTTATTGTAAGTGACCCCTAGGGTGGACTCATGCACACAAAGACCACGACAACAATAAATGTAAAGCATAATACCACTAATCCCACCACAGTGCAGCTTATGGCCATGCAGAGTCAGGTGGATCCCAAGGATTCCCATCACTGCATGAGCAGATCCTGCTGCAAGGCCTGGAGGGTAGAGAATACCAGATTCATTTCTTTTTTAAAAAATTTTTTATTTAAAGAAAATGAAAAGAAACAAAATAGAAAAAAAAGTAGAATAGAGAAATTTTTAAAATTTAACATCATAAAACCATTGGATGATACATTATATATTGTCACCTTAAAAATAGTTGTTAAAGTTACAAAAACAAAGTGTAAAAAGTGGCTAACTACTTAAACATAGGCAGTACAAACCCTTCTTTTCAATATCTCACAGAAATGTAGTAATATGGGCATCTATCTTACACATTATACATATCATTATTTCCTTTAGAACACTATTTTCCCTTTCTCCTTTGCAATATTTTATACTTTTTGGATCTCATTACTTGGTCAGTTTTTTTTATTACTTTTAACACCATAGAGATAATGTGATATTTACTAATGTGAGTCTTTTAATTTCACTAATGAGCACATTGTCAACTTGCCTACATTTACCAATAAAGGCCTCAAGATCATCCTTTTCTATAGCTGAGTAGTTATCAATTGTGTAAAAATACATTCTTTTCATCCACTCTGCAGTTAATGAGCATTTTGGTTGTTTACAAGATTTACCTATCACAAATTGTGCAATGAACATGAGTGCACATATATCACTGTGACATGACATTTTCAATTTTTCTTTGAAAATTCCTAGAAGAAAAGCAGGATTGAATGGAACTTCAAATCCTAGGTTTTTGAGGAATCTCCATACTGATTTCCACAGTGGCTGCAACAGTCGGCACTTACACCAACAGTGGAGAAGTGCAGTGGTGCACTTCACCAAGATTTGTTATCAGTTGATTTCTCGATGGCGGCCATTCTTTCCAGAGTGAGATGAAATCTCAATGCTGTCTTAATTTGGAATTCTTGAACAACCAATGATGGTGAACATTTCTTTATATATTTATTTGCCATTTGTATACCTTCATCTGAAAACTGTATATTCATCTCTGATGCCCATTTTTGGAGAGGGTCTTGGAATCTGGGGGATTTGATGTTTTTCAATTCTTTATATGTTCTGGATATGAATCCCTTGTCTGAAGGATAGTTAGTTAAAATTATTTCCCATTCTGTGGGATTTCTGTTCACTTTGTTGGTGATTTCCTTTGAAGTTCAAAAACATTTTAATAATATGAGATCCTGGTTGTTGATTTTTTGAAGTATTTCCCATACAGCTTGTGTTTTATTCATGAATTCTCTGCCTAGCCCTATGTCTCCAAGATTTCTACCTAACTTGTCCTCCAGTAGATTTAGTGTTTCTTTTTTAACTTTTAGATCCTTGATCCATTTTGACTTTAGTTAAATGTATAGTGATAGGCATGGGTCTAGTTTTAGTCTTCAGCATGTGGAAAGCCAATTTTTCCCACACCATTTATTAAAAAGGCTATCTTTCTTGCAGTGAACATGTTTAGCTCCTTTGTCAAATATAAGGTGGCTGAGTGTCTCTGTGGCAGTGTTTATATCTTCTATCTGTTCCACTGATCCTATGGTCTATTTCCTTGCCAACAGCATGCTGATTTTATCACCATGGCTTTGCAATATAGTTTCAAGTCAGGAATTGAGATGCCTCCTTCTTTGTCTTTGTTGTCCAGTATTGCCTTTGCTATTCTAGGTTTCTTCTGTTTCCAGATGAATTTGGGGGAATATTTCCTCTAGATCTGTAAGGTGTGTTAATGATATTTTGATTGGGATTGCATTGAATATATATAACAGTTTGGAGAGTTTCACCATTTTCACAATGTTGGTTGTTCCTAACTATGATCAAGGAATATCCTTTCATTTTCTAATATCCTCTTCAATCTCCTTTTTTAGAGTAGTATAATTTTCATCATATAGGTCTTTTACATTCTTGGATAGGTTGATTCCTAAGTATTTCATTTTTTTGATGCTATTGTGAAAGGCGATATTTCATAATTTCTCTCTCTTGGAGATTTTGTGTACAGGAATACTATTGATTTTTGAGTATTGACTTTCTATCCAGGTATGCTGCTGTTTATCATCTTAATAGGCTTTTAATAGATTTTTGGGGGTCTTCTATGCAAAGTATCATGTCATCTGCAAATAATAACTTAACTTCTTCTTTTCCTATTTTTATTCCCTTTATTTCTCCATCTTGTCTGATTGCTCTGCTAATAGTTCCAGAACTATATTGAATAGGAGTGGTGATAGTGCACATCATTTTTTTGTTCCTGATTTTAGTGTGAAGGCTTTCAGTTTTTGTCCACTTAGCATAACATTGGCTGTAGGTTTGTCATAAATGGTCTTTATGAGACTGAGGTAGATACCATCTATTCTGACTTTCTGTAGGGTTTTCATCATGAACAAGTGTTGGATTTTATCAAAAGATTTTTCTGCATCTATTGAGAAGTTCACGTGATTTTTATTTTTGGCTCTGTTGATGTGGAGTATTACATTTATTGATTAGCATATTTTGAACCATGCCTGCCATCTTGGAATCAATCCCAGTTGGTCATGCTACATAATCCTCTCAATGATTTGCTGCATTCTATTTGCCAATATTTTATAGAGAATCTTTGAATCAGTGTTCATTAGTGAGATTGGTCTGTATTTTTCCGCTTTGGTTGTGTCTTTCTCTAATGGTATCATAGTGATACTTGACTCCAAGAATGAGTTAGGGAGGACTGCTTCTCTTTCAATTTCATTGAAGAGTTTAAGAAATATTGGAGTCAGGTATTCTCTAAATTCTTTATGAAATTCAGCCGTGAATATATCAGGACCTAGATATTCCTTTGTTGGTAAGTTGATAAATCATTTTCAATTTCAGTAGCTGATACTGATTTACTCAGAATTGTTATATCTTCTTGATTGAGCCTCAATAATTCATGTTTCTAGAAATCTGTCCATTTCCTCTGTGTTTTTGACTCTATGTGAGTAGAGATTTTCAAAGTATGTGTTCATGATCTTTTGAATTTCCATGGCATCTGTACTAATTTCCATCTTTTCAGTCCTTATTGTGTGGATTTGAATTTTTTCTTTTTCTTAATAAGAAGGTTATTAGTTTTGTTTATTCTCTCTCTCAAAAAAAAAACCAACTCATTGATTCGTTAATTTTCTGCATTTTTTTTAGTTTCAATTGCATTAATTTCTGCTCTAATCTTTACAATTGTCTCTCTTGTATGAGCTTTGGGTTTGACTTGCTCCTCCTTTTCTAGAAACTTGAGATGTAGCATTAGGTTATTTATTTGTTGTAGGGAGTGGTGTAACTGCCCCACTGCTGTCTCTCTGCCTCTCCCTCCTATGGGCACATAATGCACCTGCCTACATTAACCATAGTCCTCTCCTACTTACGTCACATACACAGACATGATGATGACCCATCAGAGATTACCCCATAGCCTCTTCGTGTCCCACCAGCCCACCCCTGCCATATAAAACCAGTGACCACTTTATTAATAAATGAGACTTAATTGGACTCCCTTGACTTGTCTCTGACACTCTGTGTCTGGCCCTGTCTGTGTTAATCCCCATCCCTTCTCCAGGAAACTGCCCCACAGATCTGAATTGACCTGCAGGCCGGGTCAAGTGGCGCCTGTCATGGGGCTCTTGGCATGAAGGGCTCAATGAGGGAGCCATCCTGAGACACACGCATTGAAGTGAAACTAAAAGTTTTGTGACCAACGCTACGCAGGAGCCTGTTGCACCGCTAGAGTCATGGTAAGTGGACAGCAATCCTTTTCCCTTTTCTCTGGCATGGGTCAGGCATTAAGCGACCATAAATGCTTTGTATCAAGTTTAAGTAAAGCTTTAAAGACAAGAGGGATAAAGGCTAAAGAAAAAGACTTATTGCAGTATTTTCAATTTATTCATAAGGTTTGCCCTTGGTTTCCTTTAGAGGGCTCTATTGATGCAAAAAGATGGGAAAGAGTAGGAGATGCATTAAAGGATTACTATCGGGTCTTTGGCCCTGAAAAGGTCCCAGTTACAGCCTTTGCCTACTGGAACCTAATCTTGGAGCTACTTACACAGCATTGCCAAGCCCCTCAAATTGATAAAACAACCACCCAAGGTGAAGTCACTTTACACGCTTCCACTTCGCCAACATCTCTCCCTTCAGGAGATGAATCTAAACCTTCTCCAGAGAAGCTGCAGAGCGAGCAGTGGCTTCCCCCAAGCCAGAGATCCAGAGAGGGAGAAAAATAAATACTGGAAAGGAGGAGAGAACATAAGAGGGAAAGAACAGGAGGTGGATCACAGTTATTTTATGTGTGAACCTTAATATTTGCATCACATGATGTCTACCATATTTGGTTATTTAAGAATGAGTCAGGAGCTGGTGAGACAGCTCAGTGTACAATACTTGCTGACAATGCATGCAGCCCTGGGCTCAATTTCAGTGCTAATGCAAAACAATAACACTAATAATAGTAAATAACTAAGTGAGGCCCATTAGGTAGGGAATGGATTACTCACGTTGTAGCCATCAGAAAGTTAGCTGTCACCTATTGAGTAGGACCAGTCATGGGTGTGGTGACTCACATAGGTGTGAATATAGAAGCACTGCCAGTAGATTTTGGGGTGCAACTCCATCCATAGTTCTTGCTTAGCCTGTGTGAGTTCCTAACTTGAGGGCATAACACCAATACGTAGAAGAAATTGCGATATTTAGGGAACATAAAGATGACTGAATCAATGAAATTCCGCCCCTTCACAATACTACCAGGGAATACGTCCAGAAGTTGTGTGTCATTTCTGCCACCAGGCAGTGGGGGCCAGGCCTATGTGCACTGTATTCCACATCCATTGCACCCCTTCCTGGATTTAACCTCTAATTCTGTACAGTATGTCTATGTGATATCAGCCCAAAGGCATTACAATTGTCATCTCACATTGCCAATAAGGTCCCTAGGAAGTAGATGCCAGGGTAACCTCTGTAGTGCAGGAGGACACTCTGTGAAGGTTCTGAGAGGCACGGTGTCTTGTCTTAGGAAGTCAGAAGGAGGAGTTGGGTCTAAACCCAGGTCTTTCCCCTCAGAGCTGTGACCCTGCCTGCACTGTCTTTTTTCTTAGCCTTAGGGAAGCTTTGCCTACTACCAAGGGCCTGTCACTTGATTGAAGCTGTTCTCTTCATTATAAAGGACACCAGAGTGTCATTCTATTGGCTACCATGGTATCCATAGCAGGAATCTCTGGGGAATACCAGGGGGCACAATTCCACACAGACATCATGGAGGGAGCTGGTGAGTGCCTTTAATCATCAATTTACTAAGCTGTGACCATGATGCAGTGACCAGAGCAAATGTAACCACTGCTCTCTTGTGATTCCATGTTATCCAGGACACAAGTCCCTCTGAAGAACAGATCAGGTACTATCCACATTACCGTAAATGTGCCTAACTTCCTGGCCTCTGTACATTTGAACACATATTAGGGGAAGGGGTGTCCCAAGAAGGTACACAGAATGGGATGATACATCACTATATGAACTGAAGATGATGGCAGGCAGAACACACTCCCTCTGTTCACTCACTTCACTGATATTTAAGTGCACCAGCCCTGTAGAGTAAGCATGAGTAGAGTAACACTGCAGATACCATTCTTTTTCTCACAGAGACAACACACCACGAGGGTGGGAAAGGAAGATGCATTTCGTGCTTTCCTCAAGAACAGAGGACAGGTGGTCTCAGCACTATTAGGGACTTCTTTCAGCAGGTGAAGGCTTCCTGAGCCAGCACTGCCCAATTCAAGGCAGAGAGAAGGTTGGGCTGGTCTCTCTGCAACTGGAGCAGGAGGCTGGTGTTCAACTCCACAAGATGCCCCAGCTGAATTGGACCAACCTGAGCTCACTGAAGCTGAGCCCTGCCTTCAGGAGGGATTGGCCTGGGTCTGTGGGCCTCTGGGGATTGCATAAGACACTTTACATGGAGAAAGACTGCCAGACTTGGGATCTCTGGCAAGCCTGAGGCATGTACAAGTGAGTGGGTCAAGGAAGAATGAGAAACTTTGCTGGGGTGGATTTGTGCACAGAGCTGTCTGTGACAGGCACTGTGAAGTTCTCGGGCCTGCAAGGAACAAGGACAGTTGGTGATTGTTCTCCTTCTGTTGATGCAAGGCTAGTACCTGATGACCTGAAGTCGGACTTGCAGAGTTTGTGCCAGCTGGACTCCAGTGACCTCGCCAGCTCTGGGATCAAAGTGAAAACTAAGGTTAGGCACCCTTTCTTAAGGAATTTCAGAACTGGCGCTTTTACTAGCTCCATGGCAAGAATCCTGAGCTCCACTTCCAGCCAAGTGCTGCAGAGAACCTCTGTTCCCTTCCCCTTCCTTCCTTTGTACCCCTTGTATTTCTTTCAGCTTTCATTTTAGTCTTATTATCTATAATTGTTCTCAACATTAAAGTCTAAGATAATTTTAATTAAAAGTTAAGATGTCATTAGTTTCAACATGTTCAATTCAGTAGCACATAAGGACATCATCAACTTGTACAATTTCTACATCTATTGATTTCTAGCTTTCTGTTCAGTGTTGGACTCATCCATATGCCTGTACTCTTCTACTAGTCCCAACCCACCTCTGATTTTTCTCTCACTGTGATTTGCTACTCTGGGTCGTTAATATTCAAGCATCAGATTATGTTTGGCCAAACATTACTGGAGGAGACTGGCTACCATTGCTTTTTCATAGAAGAGAAAATCCCAAATAACCAAAATCTACAGCGAAAATGTAAGAAATCTACTGATCTTTTCATGTTGGAAAAGCTTTCCCATGATAGAAGGGAGAGAGAAAGATCTGATTCACTGCATTTGAAAAACAGAAAAAGAATAATGTAGAATCCACAATAAGAAATCTTTCCTTACAAGCAATAGGCAGAGAGTTTGTATTAGAGGTGTCAAAGAGGTGTCTATGAGTCCATTCTGTGAGAGATGAAAAATTCTTCTAACTCAAAAGAGAACCACCAAGTGTGGCCAACGAATGGAGAAGACGCTGGGCCCCACAAGGGTGATTCATTCAGGAATACATCCCTGACATGTGCTGTGATCCCATCTGATGGCAGACTTTAAGGCAAGTGCTGAACAGTACTGAGAAGAACATGGTGGGTGGGGCAGAGCCCTGTCCAGAAGCTCCCATCACAGCTCTCACAGGTGTCCCCAGACTTTGAGGTCTAAAAATAGAGATTTATCCTACACAGAGATCTGTATAACTTTTCAAGCTTTCTTTTCAAGACTGTTGTTCACAACACTGCTTGAAGCAGGAGGAAAATGTGATCCTTGCTACCCTCAACGTAGAAGGTGCGGGGCATCAGTGTGGGTCAGGAGAACCAGGAAAAGCTGTGCAGATGCTGAGCTTGATCTCTCTGGGCCACAGGGTAAGAGGACAAGGAATCTGATCATGAAATAATACATGGATGAGAGAAGGATGTGTGTTCAAAGTCAGAGGATACTGACTTTGAAAATGCAATGTCTCTGACATCAATGTGCGTCCACACACAGACATGTAAGAATCTATGTTCAAGAATGGTGTCTCAGCAGTGTAGCTACTTATGGAAACCCTGGCTCAATATAAAAAAGAATTTTAAAACAGAATTTAGTGTAGTTCAGTGCATGGCCATGCGCTATAATTCACAGAATTATGTTAAGGAAAAAACACAGACAAACTGGGAGCGATGTGAGGGGCTGTAGAGCACCATCACCTGGTCTTCTGGAGAGCAGTGTGCCCCAACTATCTTGAGCCTCCACACCTTTCTTGGGCACATTGATTTAAAAAAATGATCAATTCCATGAAGGAGGGGGAAAGGAGGATATTCACCCAAGAATACAAAGTCTCAGTCACAATGGAGAAGAAATGTTCAATTTTACAATAAACTGAATGGTGACCACAGTTAATAAGAAGTATAGCTTTCAAAACTGCTAAACAATGAGATTGGCAGTCCCATTCACTGTGAAACAATCTGTAGGTAAGGTGGTAGACACATTAACTTGATTGATTCTTTCTACAAAGGAGCCATAGATCACAAGTGCATGTCATCCCACAAACATACATAATTATTGTGAATTGCCAAGTGAAGATACCTTATACCTGCACTCTCAGCATTCTGGGAGGCTAAGGTAGGAGGACCACAAGTTTAAACCCAATCTGGGGAATTGAGTAAATTATTTAAAGTCTGTCTCAAAAATTAAAAAAAAAAACTAAAGTATATGGGCATACAGCTCATGGAGAATTCCCTGGGATCACTGAACACAGTATAAGAATCATTATTGTATAACTATTCTGTTATGAAAATTTTAATCTATAAATGTTTTCATATTTTCTGTTTTACCATCTACTTGTGCTATATAAAATAAGAAAAGAGGAAAAAAGTACTTATTAGTTTGTTTTGTTTTGAGACAACATCTTGCTACGTACTGCAGGCTGACCCTGAACTCACCATGTATTTCAGGCTAGCCTGGAACTCTCTGTGATCCTCTTGTGTAACCCTTGAGAGTGCTGAGATTACAGGCATGCGCCACCATGCATAGCAAGAAAATTTTTTTAAAAATTTATTTTAAAGGGAATAAAACCAAATAAAAAAAATAGTCAATCAAAACAAAAGGATGAACATGATACATGACTTAAAAACAAAATCAAACAGTAGGTTGTGTGGCCTGTTTCTTAGCCAGCACAGAAAAGAACTCAACACCTTGCTGAACACCAAATTTGTCCAGATAACTGGACAAATACCTAGATTTTGAAAGTCGTCTATTTAAACATGTCTTGTTTAGGAAGCAATTCATATCAAGCGCCAGGGAAAGAACACAGAACTTTGATTTACTATTTCCAATTTCCGGAATTTATCCCAAGAAAAAAGATACATGCTCAACACCAATTTTTCTAAGAGGAACTAGATTTGTATACATGGTCAGTAACAGGATAACTAAGTGCAACTCTACCTATGCATATAATATAAATATTCAACACTATGCAAATACATAAATGCTGTGAGCAGAACAGGGGAGTAATGGTTAGAGACAGCCGAATATGGACAAGATGGGTATCCTGCAGCAGGTTCAACAATGTTGGTGAATTAGTTTTATTTGTGGATTTAAATTTTTGAACTGCTGATCACACTGGCTCATCCCTCAAAGCCCCATGCCACATTCAGACTCCTCACAAAGCCTAAACACCCAAGTGGCGCCAATTTGAAAAGAAGCAGAAACCCCCCTATCAATGGAAGGGACTTGAGCCAAAGCATGTCCAGGTAGAATAATAACTGCTACCTTTCTGTAACATCTAGGTCCTCTCTGTCTCTGCAGGGAGGAGCTCCGAGTGGAATAAAATCGTCATTTTGGGGGTAAATATCAGTGGCTCAGCATGGCCTGGCTCACTGACAGCAGAGGCCATGTGAGACCTGAGCTGCCTGCCTCAGTTCCCACAGCTAGGCTGGGCTCCCAACAGCGCCTGGCTGGGCCAAGATCCCGGGGCTGCACGCGAGGCCTGGCCATTCTAACCCTGACGGAGAGGAGGGAGAAAGGAAGCTAGGGGCCCTTCAGGACCCAGGCTGGGTCGCCCCGAGCGCCGGTCCCGCTGCCGCCCCGGCCCGCGAACCCGCCGGCAGGACTCACTGCGCCGCTAACGTCGGGGCCACCAGGCCGCACCGCCGCTCGCCGCCGGCTCACGCCCGCCTACCTGGCCCAGGCCCCAGGCCCCATCCCCCGCCCCACAGCAGCCTAGGCCGAGGAAAGAGGAGCGCTGCGGTCTCCAGATGGCATCTCTACCAGCAAAATGGCGACTCCACACACAAGACCAGCAATAGCTGCGAGGGCGAGGCTGGGGGATGGGCGAGACAGAGCGGGATGTGGAGGTGCACGGATCCGGGCGTCCAGGGCGCGGCCCCCTGGGGGAGGGGCGGGGGCAGCGGAACCTTCACTCAAGGCTGGGGGGTAGGGCGAAGCGGTGTGAGGGGCGGGGCCAGAAGCTGGGGCCAAGTAGGTGCAAGCCTGCCAGTGGGACTAGAATGAGGCAGTGGACCTGGCAGTGGGGGTTAGGTCCCCACTGAAGCAGGGTTTGGCTGCAGGTGGAGGTCTCTGATGAGGCTTCTGGGAGACCCTGAACCCCAGGCCCACTGTGAGACAAAGCAGAGGAGTGGACTGAGTCTGAGGCTTGGAATTTATAGATGTCTGGACTCAAAACTTCTGGCCCTGATACATTAGGCACACTGCTATGCTTCTCACAGCCTCAATTTCCACTATTGTTATTCTCCTATTATTTTGTTGTGAAATATTGTGGGGTTTACTTTATTCAAAAAACGAACCGTGATGAATGGCAGTAGTCATTCCTTGGCACTGCTGTAAAGATCCAATGAAACCCTGCAGAGATCTTCCCATGGTTCCTAGCATATAGCAAGTGCTCAGATGCCATTGTTATTTGCTTTGTTGCCTTTCTTTTATTGCAGAGAAAGGAGTGCTTTCGGTATCTGTCGTCTAATGTCTTCATAACTTAAAAGTATGTTTACATGTTAATATAACATAATAACAAGCATATGTACCAGTTATTGTGTCAGGCCAGGGCCTCTCTGAGGCACTTTACATATGTTAATTCTTACAAGAGTGTGAGTTAGCAATTATCTTCATTTTCATAGCTGTGTGAGCCTAGACACCAATATTTAATACCTTTTCCAATGACAAAGCAGTGGATAGAATTTTAACCCAAGAGACCTCACACCAACCCCTCCATTAACTAACCCATAGTTAGCACAGCACCACTACAGTTCTGCCTTGTATTTTTCACATGAGTGAGGCAGCAAATTGTTCATGGGAGGTTGCACAGGTAGTAGAGGCAGTTTTTGTCAGGGTTCACTAGAGGGTCAGATTTAATTTGTGTGTGTGTGACACTTAAAGGATTTACAGAGGAGTCTGAGGAAGGCCATCTGCAGAGTCAGGTGGAGAACACAAAAGGGCCATGTTCTCCTTGGAGATGCAAAAGATCCAGTCAATAGTCTGAGTCCTGGACCTCACTGCAGAGTCCTGGAAGAGTCCCTGGCAGGAAGCAAAAGAATCTGTGCTAGGAGACTGGAAATGACACCTAAGGTGATGGCAAGCACTCGAACTCTTCTGAAGTGGCAGAGCCAGACATTTTACTTTCTCTTTTTACTGCATCCAGGATGCAGGCCTATTGGTTGCCCACCATACACAGGGAAGGTCTTCCATCTTTAGTAAGTCAGTAATCTAAACACAAACACAAAACTGTGCTAAACCAATCAGCTAGGTGTTCTTTTTTGTTGTTTTTTGGTTTTTTGAGACAGGATTTTGCTATGCAGCTCAGGCTGTCCTTGAACTCACTGTGTTGCCCAAGCTAGTCTCAAACTCAGATTTTGCTGCCTCAGCCTCCCAAGTGCTGAGTTTACAGGTGTGCACCACCACACCCAGTTCCTCCTTCATTTGAATGCACTTATTCCATCATTCTTGCCTTTTTCTTCTGAATCAATTCTGGATGTCCTCTTATAAGGATCTTAGCTTTGCTGTTGTGGCTGCTTCAATGTCTTGAATCAATTCAAACTATTTACTTTTCATGGTCATTTTGATTTTGCAGAAAAGTCAGAAGTCACAAGGGTCCAGATCTGATGAATCAGGTGGGTGAGGACACACCAAAATATATTTATGAGCTGTCCTTTCCATTGGATGGCACTCAGCAGCATCAGTCACTATATTATTTATCTCAATTTGTAGACAATTGTATAAGTGGACTTCCAAAACTGCTTCAAAAAAGCAAGAACAAATGAAGAAGTGTCTTTGAAGCAAGGAGGTGTATTTTATTTATTTTAAGGAGGTATTTTTTAAAGGAGAATTAATGGGCACATATCTTTTATTGTAGTAAATTTAAAAATTTTTAATATTAGCTGTTTATTTGTTTTATTTTTATAATTAGTATATCTTGATCAGCCCTTGTACTTCTTCCATAAGATTGTTAATTAAACATCTGCATATTCACTGTCCCTAATACAAAATGATTGGGACCAGATGTGTTTGGAATTTGTGAATTTTTGGTTTATTGGAGAATTTGCATATATATAATAAGTTATCTTGAGGATGGGATCCAAGTCTAAACATGAAATTTATTTATAGATCATATATACTTCATATTCATAGCTTGAAGATAATTTTACATTATATTTTTAATAATGTCGTGTTTAACATGTGTACTGAGTTGTTTTCCTGTTGTGGGAAATTGAAAATGTAGATAAGAACCAAAATAAAATACATATTGTGAATGTTATCTAATGAGATGGGGAATTAGGGATGGAGGAGGGCGAAAGGAAGGAAGGCAAAAAAAATTAATGAGAAAAGAAAGAAACAAACCTTTCATAAATAAGGAGGGGAAGAGACTTGAAGGAAAGGTAGGGGAATGGAGAAAAAAGATTCATATCATGTATGCTACAAATTTCCCGTGGTTAACATGATCATAATTTACACCTAAAATGTGCCAATAATCTTAATTAAAAAACATTTTGTGTTTGAAAACAAAATTTCTTGCTGTGGAATTTTCTACTTTTGGCACTGTATCAGTAGTAAAAAGTTTTGGACTTTGAAGCATTTCAGACTTCAGATTTCATATTAGGAATGCTCAGCCCATATTTGGATAGTGATTTGATAAATATCAATAGACTGTAAGCTTTGTGGTGAGAGTATGAGAGCAGGCTCTTTGTCTCTACTGGTGTCATGGTTTATGTCAGTGACCATTCAAGCCTCATGCAATCATGGATGTGGCCAAATCTAGCATTTCTGAATGGTTCATTGTCTAACACTTAGATTGGTGGTATGAGTGCTACATCTACACAGCGGTGGAGCGAACATACAGTGTACCTGTGGGAAGAAGGCCTGCCTTTCTCTTTTGCTGTTCATGCTTGCTGTTTGTATCCACCACAAACTGCTGCCTCTCAGCCATGTCATTTTGCCTTGGAGCCAACTGAGGATGGACTGAAACCTCCAATCTGTAAGAAATAAACCCTTCATTCTTTCATGTTGGGCATCAGGTATTTTGTCTCAACAACCAGTGAAAAGTAACTAAAACAACAGGTAATCATTGTTTCTCAGTACTCACCTCAATGTCTGACACAAAAATGGTGCACTTTTGTTGACAGAAAGAAAACAAGCAGTAGCACACAATTTTAGATTTGTATCACACAGAATTTCACTACTTATAAGGCTCTATAGTGAA